GACATCACAGAGAATCAAAACATAAGAAATAAAATGAGGACAGTATTTAGGATCACTGTTGACATTGAGAGAAGAAAACATACCTGATGTTTACTCAGATGTCATCACAGGCATATTTGGCCAAATCAATGAATTCAGAGAATTATGTGGGAAGATGTTATTACTGCAAAAAGTCATGCTCTTTAGAAGAAATACCATGAGAAAAATTTTACAATGTGTTCTGAAGAAAATTGCCATACTGATTTTACAATCAGGATGTGGGTTATCATGGTATATCTCAAGGGATAATATATCGCAATATAGAGATAAAATGCCATACTCAACAAGATACTTGACTCAAAAATAGCAAGAATGAATACTGGAAGTAGAATTAAGCTGTGTAACCAGTAAGAGAAATCTCCCTACTGTTATACCAGAATATGGCCAACACCTTGGGTTCCATGATGCTGTCAAAGATAATGTCAACTTCAGCCAGCATACAGAGGAAAAGATACATAGATTCATGGAAGATGCTCTTTTTCAGGATAATGAATAGGAGCAGACCATTTCCAAGGAGAGCAAAGACATAGGAGATGCAGAGGGTGATATAAATTCATATATGTAGGTCTTCTGTGCCTGGAATGCCCACCAGATAGAAGACTATGTGGTTGAAATCAGTGTGGTTGCAGTCAGCCATTTCTGAGGCAGGCTAATGAGGACTGTCTTGATTCCAACTAAAAGAAACAAAGACTCATTATAAATAAGTGTTTTTCTTGAGTTTTCTAGTTAAAGATATCAAATTAAATGTGGGTGCTTGCTAATAATTTCTTATAAAATCCCAGTAAAAAGTCCGTAAAAAAATAATCAGCCCAAAATGCAGAAGATAGTAGCAGAGAAGAGATGGTAACAATATTTTGAAAGTTTGAAAACAGATGGATGACTATTGACTAAATAGATGGTTCAAACTAATAGCATCTAGGTAAAGAAAAGGATCAAATTAATTTAAACATAAATAGAGATCTTTAAAGTCTTGTTATAGCTGTGTTAACAAAATCAGGAAAAGGGAAGTTAGTGTATGCCTGAGTGTCTACATGATGGGGGAGGGGGTTAAGATGTGCACAGGAAAGGTAAATGGTCACCTTCCATACGAGAAGGTCAATATACAACATATAATTATAAGAATATATAAGTCAAGAAATAATAGTATAAAAGTATCTTTATCTATATGGAGGTACATAATAATGAAACAGCCATAAATGTTAAAGCGATTATTTCTGAGAAGAAGGAATCAGAACTGTAAGCCTTATAGAACTGCTGAAATTTTTAAAAATATGTATATGCATAATAGTCACAAAATTAAATGAAAAATAGATATTTAATAAAGTAGCTAGATCTTCACATAAACAAATTTTAGCTCAAACTGCAGGTCTCTCTCTCTCTCTCTTCCTCCTTCCCTCCCTTCCTCCCTCCCTTTCTTTCTTCTCTCGTCATTTTAATTTCTGAAGACAAGGTCCTTTTCTGCTTTAACCACCAGATTTCCCCCTTGAATAGCACTGGGTGTTTCACTTGACCTAACTCCTGTCACTCAAGAAGAATGTATAGGAACATGGGCAATGGAACAGACAAAGGTCAAATAGAAATATTTCCTTCAGTGGATAATTACCTTCTGTATATTGCATGGACATACAGATGCTACAAAATACGTATTTCCTAAAGAATGTCATATACCCAGAAGAAATAGAAAAGTGGCACCAAAAAAGAAAAGTATTCCCCATAAATTTGGCAATAAAAAGACAGATGACAGAGGGAAGGACAGAGCCAGAGATCACCTAAACATCAGGAATGGCATGAACACCCTTCAGAAGCTGATAGAGATTTTTCAGGAAGGGAGCAGCTAAGGGGAAATGTTTTGGCTGGAACCCTAGAGAACAACTGGACATTTGGAGAAAGATTTTGAAATGATCACCTAAAATAGCTAGTTCCAATTCCAATTTATCTTGAACGATTCTGCTCAGTTCTTCCCTCCAAAAGAAGTTTTCCTTAACCTGTATCAGACATTCCTCTGTTCTATGCTTCAAAGCTCTTTCCCCTACTATCTCACCTGTTACTTCTTAGAATCTGCCAAGGGTCGTAGTGCTTCACCTACACAATTCATCTTATCTAAGACATAATTTTATAATGTTAATAAGAATACATCTCATTATCATGCAAGACAAGAAGTAAATATAAAAGTGGGGGAAATCCTACCACAGCAAAAGATCATGAAAAACATAACACACATCGGTTATAACCATCACTATTAATGGTCTCACATCCCCAGTGGAGGAAAGATAGCCTCTTCAATAAATGGTGTTGGGAAAACTGGATCTCAACCTGCCAAAGATTAAAACTGGACCCTTATCTTTCACCATGCAAAAATTAAAATCCAAGTGGATTAAAGATCTAAATACTAAAACAGAAACACTAAAATTGCTGGAAGATAAGTTAGGCAGAACTCTTGAAGACATTGGCATAGGAAAACACTTTATGAACAAATCTTCAGTAGCATGGGAACTAGCAGAAAGAATCAACAACTAGGATCTCATCTTAAAAAGCTTCTGCACTGCAAAAGAAACCATCGACAGAACTAAGAGACAACCTACAATGTGGAAAAAAATTTTACCAGCTGCTCCTCAGACAAAGGATTATTATCTAGAATATATAAAGAACTCAAAACTATCAACCCATCCAAATATAAGGACCTGATTCAAAAATGGGCATCAGAAATGAGCAGACATTTCTCAGACAAAGAAGTAAAAGCATCAAGTAAATATATGAAAAAATGTTCCACATAACTGGTCATTCAAGAGATGCAGATGAAAACAACACTGAGATTCCACCTCACCCCACAAACAATGGCTGCTATCAAGAAATAACTCAATAACAAATGTTGGTGGGGTTGTGGGGAGAAAGGGACCCTTCTCCATTGTTGGTGGGAGTGCAGACTAGTGCAATCACTATGGAAATCAATATGGAGATACCTCAAAGAGCTGGGACTAGAGGGTCCATTTGACCCAGCCATCTCTTTTGTGGATATCTTCCCAAAAGAATTAAAAGAATCATACCAGAGTGATATATGCACACCCATGTTTATAGCAGCACAGTTTGTAATAGCTAAAATTTAGAAACAGCCCATTTGCCCATCAGTTGGAGATTGGATAAAGAAGATGTGGTTTGTCTATAAAATGGAATACTACTCAGCCATAAAGAATGAAAAATTAGATTCATTCATAGGAAAATGGATACATATTGAGGATACACTTCTAAGTGAAATAAGTAAGTCACATGTGTAAATACTGAATAGTTTCTCTGGTATGAATAAACTATAATAGTACATAAGATCCTAATGAGATAACTGAGATTGTGAAATGGGAATAAAAGGGCTAAAGGTGTAGGGAAAGTGGGAAGGGTATGGGAAAGTTAATAAGGAAAAGAAAAAAATAGGAGAAAATGAAAAAATGAAAATAAAATGTTTGTAAATGGGGAGGGGAGGAGGGGGTGAAGGGAGGGCAGGGACAAGGGGAAAAATGAGAACCAAGACCTGTCATGTAAAGGTACAAGATCCCAATAATGAATGTAACTGTACTGTATACCTAAAATGTACCAATAAACTCAATGAAGAAAAAAATATTAATGTCTCAATTCACCAACCAAAAGAAATATACTGGCAGAATGGGTCAAGAAGCAAGATCTAACAATATGCTGCATACAAAAAAACACACTTAATTCAAAAAGAAACATAGACTGAAAATTAAAGGGTGGAAAACAATACTCCAGGTGACAGGAACCAGAAAAAAAATGGGAGGAACTATCCTATTTGCAGATCAAATGGATTTAAAACCAACACTACTAGAGAGAGATAAACAATGCAATTACATCCTTGTAAATGGAACAATCCAAGAGGAGTAGATAACAATCATAAATATATATGCACCAAATACTACTGCTCCCAACTATATAAAATAATTAACAAACATGAAAAATCAAATAAGCACTAATACAGTCATAGTGGGGGACCTCAATACCCCACTGGCACAAATACACAGATCAACTAGACAATAAATAAACTATGAAATACTACATCTAAAAAATAACTCTTGAACAAATGGATTTAACAGATGTTTACAGAGTGTTCCACCCCAAAAAAATCAGAATACATATTCTTTTCAGCCGCACATGGGTCCTTCTCCAAAATAGACCACACACAGGCTCAGAGAACATGTTTAGATAAAATTCAAAGGAACTGGACTTATCCCCTGTATATATTTATATCATAGTATGACCAAGTAAGAAACCAATAGAAACAGAAACCATAAGAATTTTGTAAATATATGGAAATTGAACAACACACTCCTTAACAACCAATGAGTCACAGAGAAAATTAAAAAAGAAATCAGACAGTTTCTATGATTAAATGACAATCCCAAAAACACATACCAAAATTTATGGGACACAATGAAAGCTGTCTTGTGAGGAAAATTCACAGCAGTGAATACTCATATTAGGAAAACAGAATGAGCTCAATTACACAACCTGATGCTGAACCTCAAGCTTCTAGAAGAAGAAGAGGAGGACGCACCCAAAGCTCATATAATGGAGGTAAGTATAAAGATCAGAGCAGAAATCAATGCAATGGAGACTAAGAGAATGATACAAAAAGTCAATGAAGCCAAGAGTTGGTTCGTCAAAAGAATAAACAAAATTAACAAACCCTTAACCAACCTTATTGAAAAAGGGAAATAAAAGGCCCAAATCCATGCAATTAGGAATGAAAAGCGTGAAATTATAATTAAATTAAAGCAGAAATCCAGAGGATTATCCATACCTACTTTGGGAAACTATATGCCAATAAGATGGAAAATACAGAAGAAATGGACATATTCCTAGATATGTATGAATTGCCAAAGTTGAATGAAGATGACCTAAAAATTCTAACCAACCCAATATCACTCAATGAAATTGAAAACATGATCAAAAACTTGTCAACTAAGCAAAGCCTGGGTCTTGATGGCTTCACTGCTGAATTCCACAAGACATTTAGAGAGCAACTTCTCCCACTCCTGTTTAAATTCTTTGGTAAATTTGAAAGAGAAGCAATACTCCTGAATTCATTCCTGGAAGCAAGCATCACCTTGATCCCCAAGCAGAGAAAGACCCAACTGAAAAAGAGAACTATAGGCCAATCTCACTAATGAACATAGATGTAAATATCTTTAATAAGATGCTGGCAAATAGAAAGCAGAAGATCATTGAGAAGATCATACACTCTGACCATGTAGGATTCATCCCAGGGATGCAGGGATGGTTCAATATACACAAATCAATAAATGTAATACACTATATTAATAAAACCAAGGGCAAAAACAGTAAGATCATTTCAATAGATGCAGAAAATGCATTTGACAAAATCCAACAAGCATTTATGATAAAAACCCTACAAAAATTGGAATAGACAGTCTCTACCTCAATCTGATAAAAGCCATGTATGAAAAAGCAACAGCTAACATCATACTAAGTGGTCAAAAACTGAAATCCTTCACACTCAAATCAGGAACGAGACAAGGATGTCCACTATCACCACTCCTGTTCAACATAGCTCTGGAAACATTAGCCACAGTCCCCAACTTGAAACTATACTACAAAGCTACTGTGATAAAAACAGCATGGTACTAGAAAAGAAACAGACCTGAGGATCAGTGGAATATATTAAAAGATGCAGAAACAACTCCAGACACATTCAGGCACCTCACCTTTGACAAAGGAGACAAACATCTTCACTGGAGGAAAGATAGCCTCTTTAATGGTGCTGAAAAAGCTGGGTTTCAACTTGTCAGAGTTTACAACCAGACCTATATCTCTCACCATGCACTAATCTAAAATCAAAATGGATTAAAGATCTAAATATTAAAAGAGAAACACTAAACTGGCTAGAAGAGAGGTTAGGTAGAAACGCTGAAGACATTGGTATAGGAACGCAGACATTGGACAGCAGGATGTGGATATGGGGTGCAATGTGGTGTTCGAATCGCTGAGTGTGAGTTGTGAAGATCCCAGGACCATAAAAGAGGATGATGACATAGACATGGGAGCCACAAGTGTTCAGAGCTTTATGGCGAACATCTTGGGATGGGATTCGGAAAACAGCATGGAGAATCAGCACAATATCTAAGACCACAGTTGACATTAGGACAAAAAATCCATACCAGATGTTAATTCGGATGTCATCACAGGAAACAGGAGCCAAGACAATATATTTACAAGTAGCATTCGTGAGGATATTACTTTTGCAGAATGTCAGTCTTTTTAGAAGAAGTATTATGGGGATTATTGTGCCATAACTTCTCAGAAAGATAGCCACTCCAATCTTCCCAATCAAGGAGTTTGTAAGAATACTGCTGTACCTCAGAGGGTAGCAGATGGCAATGTAGCGATCAAATGCCATCACCAGCAAGATCCCTGACTCAGAGATGAAGGTGGAATAGTTGAAGAAGAGCTGAGTGATGCAGCGATCCAGGGAGATCTCTGCAACGTGGACCCAGAAGACGGCCAGCATCTGAGGAACCGTGGAAGTGGATAAGACAATGTCTGCTCCTGCCAGCATGCAGAGGAAGAGGTACATGGGTCCATGGAGACTCTGCTTTGTGAGGATAACGAAGATGATCAGGCTGTTCCCAAGCAGAGCAATCACATAGGAAATGAAGAAGGGGATGGAGATCCACATGTGCTGGTCCTCCAGGCCAGGGATGCCCAGCAACCAGAAGACTGTGTGGCTGACACCGCTGTGGCTTAAGATATTTATATCTGGCAACACCAAGAGACATCTCACCTCCTCTTCACTGAGGCAAAGGAAAATACATATTTCCTTTAGTATTTTTTATGATGTCACCAGAAACTTTTGGTACATTCCACAACATCCATCATCTGTGAATATGTAAATAAGAAACATATAAAGATGAAAGATGATCTATGTTTTAATGAGTGACAGCTAGTCTATACTATCTACAACTAATCACAGAAAGAAACGTTTTTCTATTAATTTCACTTAAACAGAAAACCATGAATACACACAGGAAATCATTAATCATATGTGGGAAACCTGTAAAACCATGAAGCATATACTTGACCTTGACCTTTAGTAGTTTGTTCTAAAATAAATTTTAAAAGAGAAATGGTATATGAAAAGGTGAGCAGAGAGATCAAAGCACATATGTCCCTGAGACATTATGGGGCCCAAGTGGCTGGTGCAGAGTCTGCTGGAGAGAGCAGGGGAGATGGCTGTACAGGACGATTTGTTCTGATTGTGAAGGGTCTTAGTCACAGCTTTACATTCAGATTCCATCCTTTACAGAGTGGGTAGCTACCAGACATTGCAAAGACATAATTTAAAACAGTTTCTGTAGTTGAAAAAGATCACCCATGCATGTTATTGGAGCATCAACTGTGGACATTGTAGCCTAAAAAGCAAATGGTGTTCTGGGAACAGAATGGATCCAAACATGACGTCACCACAGGGAAATTAAACTGATACTGATTAACTTTTACTTCATGCCAAGGAATGCACTACAAAAATGTCCTTTATATATTCTTTGTGATGTGTAGTGAATTGATATCTATTCTAGGGTCTAGATATTATCTCCATTTTACTGTTAGGAAACTGAGGCTTATACAATACTACTCATTTGCCAAATGTCACAGACCAGTAATTGACAAAACTGAGATTTCAAATCTCTCTGATTTCATTACCAACAGTTTGCATATTTACAAAAAGGGCAAAAATAAATTTAGGAGGTAAGAGAGGCTGTACTCTGGGCACAAGAGGAGTAAATGCGTGTGTTCAGACCGTAGGAACCAAGGTTTGCAATGACTGAAATTAGAAAAAGAAAATTATTATTTGGGAGTAGGTGGTACAGTTCTTCATCTTTAGAAATTCTGCTGGTGGAAACTAATAAGTAACTTCATTATTTATTTCTTACATACTCCTCTTCCTTGATTACTTTAACCCTTCAGCAAGCACTTTCTGAGCAGTGACTATTGTATGCTGTGTGCCACGGTCCTAACTGTGCTTACAGGTTGAGGTGATGGTGAGCACGTGAGTAAACAGGAGTAGTGATGTCCCAGATGGAATAGGCCCAGAGAGCACCTTCTGAGAAGAGAGCCAGATCTGCCCTACTTTCACTGGAGTGAAGAAATGGAAACACTTGGTAAAATACCTTGGGATGAGGATGGAAACTACTGGTAAGACACTTGCTTAGCATGCACAAGGCTCTGTGTTTGAACCCCAGCACCGCAAATATACTCTCTTCACAGGTTTTTCTGAAGATATGAAATCCTTTTCATTTGTAGCTCACTGGCTAAGACATATATTATGCTTATTAAGGTTTTTTCCTTCCATTACAGTCCTCTGCATCCCTGATTTTTCTTTTTGGGAAGGAAAGTTGACTCCTGATTTTCTACTTCACCTTCTAATATTCACTAGCTGGCTCCACAAAGACTCCTCCAATATCAGCTTTGGCACAAGTAACCCCGAATCCCTGCAATGCTTAGTTCTCCTTAAACATTATCTCCAAAAGAGTCTACACTTTTAACAAGACATTCTGTTTTCCCATCTCAGGCCTCCTTATAGGACACCTATCTTTTGCTGGATTGTTTCTCTTTACCCTTCACTAAACTCCTTTAGCTCATGTACACTCCAACTCACCTCCCAGACCTCACCTTCCACATCTGCTATCACTAAGCAGATTCATGCCTCTGTCTTCATAGGTGTTGTCACAATATTTCAATAGTCTCCAAGAGTGCTGTCACCTTTGCCCTGCATTTCCTATATGAGACAACACCAGCCTAGTTCTCACCTTTGTTTTGGAACCTGCCCCATCCAGACACCTCTGCAGCCTTAGATTGAGACTTCAGGAGCAGACACAAGATCTGTAATCAAAGCCAGCTTGTTGTAGGAGGACTAAAGTCGGCTGTTCAGCCTCTTTCTTGAGAACCCTGGAAGGATGACACAAAGTCCCTCCTGGGACTGAGCTGCACCATCACACTCACTTTCTTCCCAAGTGGGCTGAGTCTCAAGCCATTTCCTGCCACTATCTTCCTCCTGTCTCTTTTCTTTCTTTACCTTTCCAAGATGATCTGATCGGAAAGCCTTTCCCACCTAATCTAGCCTTGCTGATCCTACTCTGAACACAAATAGAAAAGGTAGAAATATGTATCAGTGATTCGTAAAGTTTTGTTCTTCATGAAAATGACTGCATTGAAGTTGTACCCATCCCTAGGGTTTTCATAAGATTCACCCTCAGAGTCATGAATACCAATGATGCTTATCTCTGCGGCCTACTGTACACAACGGAGCATACTTTGTAGTTAGTAAAACATGTGGGTCATGAATAATGTGGACACATTTGTATTTCATGGACTCTTTTTTTTTGCGGGGGGGGTACCAGGGATCGAACTCAGGACCTTATGCTTGTGCGGCAGCACCACTGAGCTAAACCCCTGGCCCTCATGGTCTCTATTTTGACTGTGGTTTAGCTCTTCACTTCATTTTAATTTTCATTTTCATTGTGATGCACCTTAACATAGCTTCTTTCTTTTCTTCTTTCCTTTCTTTTTCTTTCTGTCTTTCTTTTTCCTTGCTTCCTATCCTTCTTAACTTGCAGTACAGTAAACTCCCATTCTGGGAGAATGTGCATAAGTCAAATCTGCAGACTCTCATACAACTTTGACACAAATACATAATGTAAAGCATATGAAAGCCAAACATCCACATAATATACTCTAAATACACTACTTTTTTATAGTTACTTTTAATGGTTGTATTGCATAGCACAACTGTAAACAAACTATACTTTTACAGTACATTTTAAATGGTAAGGTAAACACGTGAGTTCTTCCCTGCTTTGTTCACATCTGTGAATATTCCTACTACAAGGTCCATTCCTGTCTGTGGAAGTTCAAAACTTCAATGTTTGTAAGTCAGGGACTTACTATAATGGAGAGTCAACACAGGGCCATAGCATTAAGCTACATCCCCAGGGTTTATTTTTTGAAACAAATTCTTGTTAAGTTACCCAGGCTGGGCTCTGACTTTCAATCCCTCTGCCTCAGTGTCACTGGGTGCTGAAATTAGATATTTGCACCATCATACCTGGTGTTGCTTGCTTTTAACCTTTCTTCTAGGATTACTCAGGTCTTTGAATCTGTACATTCATAATATTTACCAAATGTGAAAAATGTTTGTAACTATTTCTTAAATTTTTTATCCTATCTTCTTCTTGCACTTTTCCTTTTATGACTAGCATTTCACATTTGTGAAAGTTTTCATTTATTTTTCTGCTCTTTTTCTCACTTCTTCAGTTGTTTATAAGACATCTTAATTTTCTTTACTTTCCCGTCTCCCCTCCCACACTGCTCTCTCCATCTCTAGATCCCTTTCTCATTTGCAAAAATTCTGTCTCCCCAATTCCTATTATCCATTCTTCACTTTGCTGCATAAGTTATTTATACTTTGGATTTCTCCTGTAAGAGACACCACATGATAGGTCTTCTGTTTCTGATTTATGTCAGTTGATAGTATAGGTTCAAGGTGCATCCCTGTTCCTACCAGCGACTCAAACTTTTCCTTCCTTTTGGCTGAATAGTCCTCCATATTGTAAATATGTCACATTTTTTGTATACATTTGGGATTTTTTTGTTTGGAGTTTTTGTTTTGTTTTTATTTGTTTGTTTGTTTGTAGTGGGGATCAAACTCGGGACCTGTGCTTGCAAAGGAGGCAGCAGAACCACTGAGCTGAATCCCCAGCCCTGTATTCATTTATTTTTTGATGGAAATGTAGGCCACTTCAAAGATTCAGCTATTATGAGTTGTGCTGCTTTAAACATGAGCATGCATGTAGCACTATAATATGATCCTCCTTGATATTCACTGAGTTCTTTGAATCTATAAATTTATAATATTTACCAAATGTGAAGAATTTCAGTAATTATTTCTTAAATTTTTTTCTATCCCACTTTCTTGAACATTTCATTTCAGGACAACTACTTCATATCTGTAAAAGTCTTCATGTATTTATTTTCATACACCCATTTCTTTAGTTGGATAATTCTATTGCTAAGCCTTATGGCTAATTACTAGAGGTAGGATTACATTGGCCACAGTGTACCTGCTTCCATAAATGTTTTATATTTTAAAGATTCCCTCCATAGACATTGTTTCCTATTCATCATCACTGGAATGTACAAGATTGCCCTTTTCCCTTATACACTTATTGCCTGAGTGTGCTGTCAGTTTGACGTTTTGTGTCAGTCTCACAGTTTGTCAAGTGGGGATCGGTATATGTAAAAATGGCTACCAAGAATTCTTCCCTCTGTTGTACACCAGCCCCCATCATACTGGACTCATTCCCTTTCAGTGTGGAATGCCTTAGGGTCTTCTATGACTGATGGGATAAGCTTAATGTTATATGCATGAATTAAAGGGCACACACTTTGAAATGGCTTGCAACTTTCATTGTGCCCTCGTGGAGGTCACCAGCCATTTAAATACCTTATGATAGACAAACAGAGATCATGCAGAGTGTGGTGACACGGAGGACAATCAAGGAAAAGCAGAGATGAGCAAAACACAAAGCAACTTTACATCCCAAACCTATACTGTACTTAGCAAAATGTAGGTTCACATAAAAATACTCATTGACTGAAAATATGATGCATCAATTGAATGATTTGATAAGATAAATGATAGACTTCTGTGACATCAATCACTGGATGTAGCTTTGCAAGTGCTGTGAAAAGTTCCCAGCCAGATATTTGGGTTGATTTTGGAATGTCTCAATAATGTTGACTGACTGGCAGTAGAGGATGATATTTAGGAGTCTTGCAGTTTCAATTTCAGATATTTTCTCAAGAATCATTATCTCACTGTGGTAATTACAGCAGTTTGGGCTTAAGAGAGCTAGTCTAATGTAATCCTGAATACCACGGAAAATGAACTGCTCCCAGAAGCAATGATGCTTAATGATAGAATGGAGGCTTTAGAAGAAACATGAACCAAAATCCATGATGCAATTGCTCCAGAAATATCAACATCTGGAGTGAACCTCACCTGCTGCCATGTACTCATGCTAAATCTCACTGAAATATGGAAAAAAGTATCATCTTCCAATGTTTATCATTTCTGTCCTATACACAACACATAAACCACCTGGTCCCGGATCTGTTTGGTCTTGACTCCATAAATGATGGGGTTTACCATAGGTGGAATTAAAACGGACACATTAGCCAGAAGGACATGGATATGGGGTGCGATGTGGTGTCCAAATCGCTGAGTGAGAGTTGTGAAGATCCCAGGACCATAAAAGAGGATGATGACACAGACATGGGAGCCACAAGTGTTCAGAGCTTTATGGCGAGCATCTTGGGATGGGATTCGGAAAACAGCATGGAGAATCAGCACATAGGAAATGAAAATCAGCACAATATCTAAGACCAATGTAGACAGTAGGACAAAAAACCCATACCAGATGTTGATTTGTATGTCATTACAGGAAATACGAGCCAAGACAATATGCTTACAACCAGTGTTTGGGAGAATATTACTTTTGCAGAATGTCAGTCTTTTTAGAAGAAATATTATGGGGATTATTGTGCCATAACTTCTCAGAAAGATAGCCACTCCAATCTTCCCAATCAAGGAGTTTGTAAGAATACTGCTGTACCTCAGAGGGTAGCAGATGGCAATGTAGCGATCAAATGCCATCACCAGCAAGATCCCTGACTCAGAGATGAAGGTGGAATAGTTGAAGAAGAGCTGAGTGATGCAGCGATCCAGGGAGATCTCTGCAACGTGGACCCAGAAGACGGCCAGCATCTGAGGAACCGTGGAAGTGGATAAGACAATGTCTGCTCCTGCCAGCATGCAGAGGAAGAGGTACATGGGTCCATGGAGACTCTGCTTTGTGAGGATAACGAAGATGATCAGGCTGTTCCCAAGCAGAGCAATCACATAGGAAATGAAGAAGGGGATGGAGATCCACATGTGCTGGTCCTCCAGGCCAGGGATGCCCAGCAACCAGAAGACTGTGTGGCTGACACCAGTGTGGTTAGAAGCACTCATACCTGAAACACACCACCAGTAATTCTCATTTCCTTTTCAGAAGGGAGAGTTCTGATTACACTCCAAGATTTTCCTTTATACTACCAGGAGATTTTTATACCTAGATGATTCTTTCCTATTCTGAGGGTGCCAGGAACTGTGATATATAATGATAACATGAAATGGCTTGTTTCTGAATAAAATTTTAATCTCAATAAGATAGACATATATAAAGCTGATGAAATGGAAATGATTGATATATTAATGATACAAGAAAATTTTCACATAGGGGCACAATTGAATGCACAGGTCTCACTTTTCATATGCATAATAAACAATGCTTATCTGAATAAGCCAGACACATAGAGATAAATACTGCATAATCTCCCCTATATGTGGAATGTAGAAAAGTTGAACTCAAAGAAATTGTAGTATAGATGTTAGTTTTAAGAACATAGAAAGAGAAGTTTTCCTTCGGAGATATAATCATTTGATAGCTACTGGAAACCATGGTGATTATAGTTAATAATAATGTAATATTTCAAAATGCTACTAGACTAGATTTTACCACAAAAATGGGTAAGTGCACCAGGCATGTAGCTCAGTGGCAACATGCCTGCCTGGCAAGTGTAAGCTCCTGAGTTCCATCCCCAG